TTTACATAGCTAAGATTTGGAAACAGCTTAAGTGCCCAACATCAGATGAGTGCATTAAAAAACAGTGGTAGATCTACGAATGGAATACTACGCTGCTGTAAAAAAGAAGGAATTCTTACTATTTGCAACAGCATGGATGGATCTGGAGAGCATTATGCTAAGTGAAATAAGCCAGTCAGTGAAAGATAAATATCACATGATCTCACTCATTTATAGATAATAAAGAACATTACAAACTGTTGAACAAAAGTAGACAATGGCAAAGAAGCATCGAACAGACTGTCAAACTGCAGCAGGAATGTAAGGGAGGGTTGGGGGGGGGGCTGGTAAGAGATCAACTCAAGGATTTGTATGCATGCATATAAGCACAACCAACAGACTCAAGACACTGGGGGTGAGGGGATGAGGGCAAGTGCCGGGGGGTAGGGGAGGCCGGGGGGAGGTCAGTGGGGGGAAAAGAAGAGAGAGAGAGAGATGTACTACTATTTGTAATACCTTAAACAATAAAATTTAAAAAAAAAACTTCCCATGTTTGCCGAGCAAAATGGGCTTTCAGCTTCATGAAGCCCAATGGACCCAATGGGTAGAATCTGAAAAGGACTACACAGACACACTTTATAATTAAAGTGCCAAAAATCAAAGCCAAAGAGAGAATTTTAAAAGCGGCAAGAAAAGGGTGACTTATCACATGCAAGAAAGTCCCCATAAGACTATCAGTGACATCTGAATGGAAGCTGCTCCTGCTGAAGCTTCTGAAGACCCTCTCTTTGCTATGCCCTTTGTTGCATGTCCCTCCTCTGTCACTGCCTCTCCTGATTTTTAGGGTTCCAGGCCCTATAGCTCCAGCTGCTTCCCTGTTTTTGGTGTCTATATACAAACAAGGGGATTCCTGTGGGCTGCTCTTCCCCTGGCCTCCAGGTCCTGACTAACTGTTTTTGTCCTCCATTCCTGCTGCCACAGGTCATGATGGCTGAAAATCACTGTGGGGCTGCAGGAGGAGGGAGACAGTGTCTGAAAATACTCAGAAAATTACTTTCACTTCTCTTTTCCCCATTTGGGTGGAGCCCTTCCAGGGTGAGTTCACTCACTTCCTGCTCAGGGCTTTGCAGCCACAGTGAGCCTAGGCTGGGGAGACTGGAAGGATCAGAGGTCCAGGCAGGACCCAGGGCAGGAAGATGGCCAGTGGGGGCAGCGACCTCAGCACCAGGTCAGTCTCTGTCTCCCTTCCTTCAATTTTTCTCTCTGGCTGTGCTGATGCTTTAGTGTGTATCATTAGACACTCGTCTAAACCTTCACCTCAGTCCTGCTCTACAAGGACACTTATGTGGAATGTAATGAAATACAGGAATACAAGTGGGAAAATTGGATCTTTAAACTGCAGAAGGACAGCTGCTGGTGTGAGTGTAGCTTTCACAACCCAGAGGACTCATCTTACAGCTACTGCTCAACTGGCAGCCCATGAGGACTCAGCCATCCTTTCTGATGCTTTGAGACAGAGATTTATTTTCTCATGACCTATGAACCTTCTGTTTTCCCTCTGGGCTCCTCTGACTTCACCTTGGTCATTTCAATGAGGAAACTTCAGAAAATACAAAATTCAGGGTGGCCCTGGCAGGTGTGGCTCAGTGCATAGAGCGTCAACCTGCAGAATGAAGGGTCCTGGGTTTGATTCCGGTCAAGGGCATATATCTCTGTTGGGTTGTAGGCTTCTGCAGCCTGGGCCCTGGTCAGGACATGTGCAGGAGGCAATCAATTGATGTGTTTCTCTAAAATTGATGTTTCTCTCTGTCTTTCCCTCTCTCTTACCCCCTCACTAAAAATCAATGGAAAAATATCCTTGGGTAAGGATATATAACAAAAACAAAATTCAGGGTTAAAGCATGAAATTTTCAAATCTGGGTGCTTTGGTCTTGTACCTGACCTGGGGACAGGTCAGCTCCAGGCTTATTCCCGTCTGTGGCTGAGGGTCTGGGATCTTCCTCCAGGGATCTTGATTGAAGGGAGTAAAAGAAAGAGGAAGGACCAAGAAACGAAAGACTAGTGCAGGCTGAGTATTTTCATCTGTACTTTGAGTTTCTGCTCTGGAATGCATTATACCTCTGACAAGGAAAAGGCCAGAAATACTTTTTCTCTAATAATGGGTCAGAAATAACATTACTTAATATGTTTAATTTTTTAATACAAAAGAATTACATTTACCTCTTGTTCATAAAGTTTCAAATGATATGCAAGTGTGTAGAGGAGAAAGTCCCCTTCACTTGCCACCCACCTGAAGCTCTCAGTCCTGGTTCTGTTGAGTGTTGTGGGCGCATATCATTTTCTCTGCATTTACACATGTAACTGATTTTCCTAAATAATTTGTGTCTTGTTTTTAAACAAATGGGATTTTATTGCATTTTGCATTTTCAGTTATTTTAGTATTGAAAATATTAGAGACCTTTTCACTTTAATAAACATACTGATCTCCCTCATTCTTTTTTAAATATATTTTTATTGATATCATAGAGGAAGGGAGAGGGAGAGAGAGATAGAAACATCAATGATGACAGAAAATCAATGATCGGCTGCCTCATGCATGACCTACACTGGGGATTGAGACTACAACCCGGGCATGTGCCCTGACTGGCAATTGAACCATGACCTCCTGGTTCATAGGTCAACACTCAACCACTGAGCTATGCTGGCCAGGCTCCCTCATTCTTTTTTATAGCTGTATACTACTCCATGGAATCAATAATCCATAATTTTTAAACCATTCTCTTCCATTGACAGACACTTAGGTAATTTCAATAAGCTATGATAACAACAAACTTATGTATATCTTTTATGCAGATATACATAAGTTTGTCTGGTGTCAATAACCAAAAAATCAAATTGTTGAGGCAAAGAGTATAAATACTTTTTTGTTTATAGATTCTGCTAAGTTGCCTTCTAAGTAACAGAGATTCATTTAGTTAATTTGCATTTTCTGATTACATGGGAGGAGGAACTGTGTTTTGACCATTTAAATTGCCTCTTAGGTGAGTTGCTGCATTTTTTCTTGCCAATGTTATCAGTTGAGATTGTCCTTTATTTGATAAGGGAGAATTTGCTAAATATTCTGAAAGTTGCAAGTTTCCTTTTTTTTTTTTTTAAATATATTTTTTTGATTTTTTTACAGAGAGGAAGGGACAGAGATAGAGAGCTAGAAACATCGATGAGAGAGAAACATCGACCAGCTGCCTCCTGCACATCTCCCACTGGGGATGTGCCCGCAACCCAGGTACATGCCCTTGACCGGAATCGAACCTGGGACCTTTCAGTCCGCAGGCCGACGCTCTATCCATTGAGCCAAACCGGTTTCGGCAGTTTCCTTTTCTTTTACTTTGTTTTTGGTGACTTCTATTTTATTAAAGATTAAAATTTAAATTACAGAATTATTATAATACTAGAGGCCCGGTGCACAGATTCGTGCACTGGTGGGGTCCCTAGGCCTGGCCTGCGAGATTGGGCTGAAACCAGCAGTCCGACATCCCCCAAGGAGTCCCGGATTGCGACTCCTGAGAGGGTGCAGGCCATTGAAGATACTGGGGCCCGCTACTTTTGTTCTAAGTTATAAATTACTTATTCAGGTTTTTTTTTAAATGGATAGAAGCCTATTAAAATTATCTATTTCTCCTTGTGTGAGTTTGGGTACTTTGTGTATTTCAAAGATTTGGCCTATATTAATTGTTATCAAGCTGGTGGAGATAGATTTGTTCATAGATTACAATATCCTTTTAATATCATGGGATTAGTTGTGATGATCCTACTTTCACTTCTAATATTGGTAATTTGTGTCTTTTCTCTTTTATTTATTAGCCTGTGTAAAATATATCAATTTTATTTATCTTTTCCAAGAACCAGTTTTAGTTTTGTGTGTTTTTCTCTGTTGTTTTTCTAGTTCCATTTCACTTATTTCTTCTTCTTTTTTCTTATGTAGTGTGCTGTTTGCTTTTTTTTAAATAACAAAAACAAATTCAGAAAGCAATCAAAATTTGTTCATTCTTACACAAATGATTCTGGCTGGTGCGTACTTTTTATGCTAATTTATCAAATCAAGTTTTGCTTCTCTATCTGTGGTTAAATATACATCCCTAAGCAAGTAGAAATGTTAAAATAAGGATTACATCTTGGTGTTTATTTGAAATCAGGATTTTTCCATTCTGAATAGTTTCAGTAAGTGTATGTTATGATAGAATGTCTCTTTATCTACTTTAACTTGGTCTATGTTAAATTGATAAAATACAACCTTAGTCTTGCTTAAGAGTACATCTTTAATTATACAAGTTAGTAAATAGGATATATCAACAAAAATGTCCAACAATGTAATTAAATCATTGCTACTTGAAATACTTTATACATGAATAATTTAACTCTTTATACTGTTGAAGCCTTGCATTTCAGTATATTGTACAACTTCTGTATCATCACCTGAAATTTACAGGCAAGCATTGAAGATGCCTTAGCTGTTACAATAATGTTTACCCCCAAGTTTGATAAGCTACCTCCGAGTAAGCCACATGTAAATGCTAAATACTTAGATGCACGTTCTAAATACTGTTTTCCTGCAGACATCTGAGTAAGCAGACTGAATTTATTGTTCTGAAGTACATAGATGCCCTGATGATTTGTCCTGAGACTGATGATTTGTTTCTTAAATACTGTAGTCCAAGAAATTTTTCCAAATGAAGTTCATGACATCTAACTCATACTTGAACCTCACGGTATCTTTTGTAAACCTTTGTTCCTTGTCCCACTCGAAACCCCATGTTTTCCAGCTTAGTAATACAGCGTGAATTTCCCACCTTCCCCTGCTCTGCAGACTAGTACACTCCTGACACCATCTCTTTATGGAGAAGCAAAACAACACCTCCACTAAATCTCTTTTTTAAATTTCTTTATTGATTAAGATATTACATAGGTGTCCTTAAATCTTGCTTATTCTTTTTTATTATTATTAAATTGGTTGGAGTGACAGTGGTTAACAATAACATATAGATTTCATGTGTGGATTTCTGTTACAAAATCTGTATATTGCACCATGTGCCCACCACCAAAAGTCAAATCTTCTCCTGTCACCTCATGTTAGGACCCCTTTCTCTCCCTACCCCCTTCCCTCTGGCAATCACCACATTGCAGTTTGTGTTCATAAGTTTCAGTTTTATAACCCACATATGAGCGATATTATATGGTTCTTAGCTTTTTCTGACTGACTTATTTCATTTGGCATAATGTTCTCAAGGTCCATCCATGTTGTCGCAAATGGCACTATTTCATTCTTTCTTATGGCTGAGTAGTATTCCATTGTGTATATGGACCATATCTTCTTTATCCAGTCCTCTGTCATAGGACATTTTGGTTGTTTCCATGTCTTAGCCACTGTGAATAATGCTGCAATGGACATAGGGGTGCATATATCTTTGCAAATAAGTGATTCCAAGTTTTTTTGGGTATATACCCAGGAGTGGGGTTGCTAGGTCATATGGTAGCTCTGTTCTTACATTTTTGAGGAATCACCAGACTTTCCATAGCAGTTGTACCAGTCTACATTCCCACCTGCAGTGAATGAGGGTTCCCTTTTTTCCACAACCTCTCCAATACTTGTTATTGCTTCTCTTATTGGTAATGGCCATTCTAACATGTGTAAGGTGATATCTCACTGTAGTTTTGATTTGCATTTCCCTAATTGCCAGTAAGGTTGAACATCTTTTCATGTATCTATTGGCTGTTTGTATGTCTTCTCAGGAGTAGTGTATTTTCAAGTCCCCCACCCACTTTTTAATTGGATTGTTTGTTTGGTGTTGAGTTTTATGAGTTCTTTATATATTTTGAAAATTAAAGCTTTGTCAGAGTTACTGTTTGCAAATATCATCTTCCATCTGGTTGGCTGCCTGTTTGTTTTGTTGTCCGTTTCTTTTGCTGTGCAGAAACTCTGATATAGTTCCATTTATTTATTTTTGCCGTTACCTCCCTGGCCTTTGGGGTCAAGTTCATAAAATGTTCTCTACAACCCAGATCCATAAGTTTGGTACCTATATTTTCTTCTATGTACAAGTAATTTATAGTTTTGGGTCTTATGTTTAGGTCTTTGATCCATTTTGAATTAATTTTTGTACTGAGGACAAACTATAAACAGTTTCATTCGTTTGCATGTGGCTTTCCAGTTTTCCAGCGCCACGTATTGAAGACACTATCTTTACTCCAATGTGCGTTTCTGGCTCCTTTGTCAAAAATTATCTGTCCATATATGTGTGGTTTTATAGCTGGGCCCTCTATTCTGTTCCATTGATCTGTGTGTCTGTTTCTCTGCCAATACCATGCTGTTTTGATTATCATAGCTCTGTTGCATAATTTAAGTCAGGTAGCATGATTAAGCTCTGGTTTTTGTCTCCCTTTTGGCTCTGGCTCCTGGGTTCCAGCTAGTGCCTGAGCTATTTGGGCTGAGCCTCTGATCCCTCAGTCCGCAGCCCATCCCTCATTGCTAGGAGACCACCAAGGAATTCACTCGCTTTCCTGAAGACTGATCCTGGAGTGAGCCCCATACAAGGGCAAGCCCAGTCCATGACCACCAAGCCCTCAGGCCCAATGAGAGAGTATTTAACTTCTAATTAATTATTTCTAATTAATTTTTATTTTATTTCCTTTCTTCTATTTTAGTTTTAAATTGCTCTTTCTTGTAATCTTCTATTTATAATTTTCTAAAAAATATATTTCTCATTAATCACTGCTTTTTCTGCATCACCAAAATTTTATAAAATGTATGCTCATTTTAATTTAGTTCAAACAATTTAAAAATTCTCTTGAGATTTTTCTTTTACTCATGCTACTTAGAAGTATATTTTTCAATCTCTAAGTATTTAAGGAGTTTCAGTTATAGCTCTCTGTTATTCATTTCTAGTTTAATTCCCTTGTTGTCTGAGGACATACTCTTCATGATTTCTATTCTTTTACACATGTTATGGCGTATTTTATGACCCAGAAATTGTTCTTATATGGTGAAGGTGAGTTTCCCTATCATCTTAAGTCTGTGTACTCAGCATTGTTGGATGAAGTACTCTATAAATGTCAAATAGATCAGGTTGGTTGATAGTGATGTTCACATCAACTCTATTTTTACTGATTCTTGCCTGCTGGAAGTATAAATTACCAAAAGAGGGTGTTGAAGTATCAAACTTTAATAGTGCATTTGTTTGTTTCTACTTGTAATTCTATCAGTTTTTACTGTATATAATTTGATGTCAAGTGTTCAGGTAAATGCATGTTAAGGATTAAGTCTTCTTGGAAAACAGAACCCCTGCTTCATATGAAACCCCCTCTTTCTCCTTCATAATTTTTCTGTTCTGAATCATCTTTGTTTGGAAATAATATGGCTACTGCATCAGTCTCTTGATTAGTGTTAGCATGATATCTCTCCATTATTAATATGAGGCTTGCTATTTAAAGGTTTATTATGTTGACAAGATATAATTTTTAAATATATTCCGTCACTTTGATAATCACTGGGTTTTAATTGGAATATTAAGACCATTCATATTGAATGTAAGTATTAATATGTTGAATTAATATCTATCATGTTTGCAACTGTTCTCTATTTATTGTATTTGTTCTTTGATTCTCCCTCACCCCTCTTTTTCTGCCATCTCTAGTTTTAATTTAAAATACTGCATGATTTCATCTTATCTCTTCTATTAACATATCATGTTTGCTTCTTTTTAAATGTATTTAGTGTTTGCATGGATATTGCAATGCACATTTTAACCCACTTCCCTGCAGCGTAGGTACTTTCTAGCAAAGTATTCCCAATTCCTCCCTCCCTTCCTGCATCTTGATGACCATTTTCTCATGGTGTCCTTTCTCCCTAGGATGTCTGTAGAAAACAAGCATATCTATGACATTGCTCTCTGCCACTTCAAAACACAGAAAGTCAAAATTTCAAACATAATAAAAGTATCATTTCCTTTCCTTGAACTTCTCCGTGACTATGGATTCATCAGCAATGAAATATATGAAGTAAGTAAGGTTTATTATGTCACAATCTAGTAAACCAGTGCCAAACTAAGTTATATTTTGATATCCTGGAATCAAATATCAGAGCATAACTAGATAACTAAGTGGGGACCCTCTCAAGTACTGCTGTAAGTGTTCTTATAAGGTCAGAAGGGAGAAGAGAAGCAGGCATTACTGAAGACAGTTCTGCTCCTAACAGAAGGAACAGTGCTCCGTGGTGCCCCCTATAGCGGGGTGAATAGCACTAGAGATAGGCTGGGTGTGAAGTGAGTGAGCGACATAGATTTATAATGCCTTGTAGGAATTATATACACAATATAGCGTAAACTAGTATTAAATGTAATTGTAATGAATGGATAAATAAGTTGAATGATTTCATTTAATTAAATAATAATTGTTCAATGAACACCAATTTAAATACTTATATCTGAAAACATTAAAATCCACAGAGAATCAATGTCTTCTTAGGAAAATTTTGAAAATAGATGCTTGCTATTCTTTCAACAACAGTTTTCAGTTCACAGGTACTTCTAGGCCAAGTCAGTCCTGGGGAAGGGACAAGCGGTGTCCAGTCAACAGAACAGCAGCTCATCAGCTGCTAAAACATTTGGCCAGGCTCTGAAAGGGCTACACATCACTTAACTTTAACCCAATTTGTTCTTCATAATTGCTCCTTACTCCATCTAATAGATATTAGAACAAAGAAATTAGATATGAATGGGAATTTTCAAGGAGGATGAATTTAGTTGTTTAACTAGTAGCCATACAAATATAGAGAAATTCTAAAACTGTACACGAGACCATAACTATGTTGGGAAGTTGTAATACATTAACAATAAAATCACTTTCTAGGGCTCTTCTGTAACTTGGAAATCTGTATTTATATTTTCCCAATTCATTATTTTTAAGAAGTCGAAGGAATCTTTTAAAACACCGGGTTCGGAACAAAAAGTCATAATTGATGTTCTCAATGAAGTGGAGAAGACATTTAACCTGTCCCTTCTGGAAGCATTGTTCAGCGAGGACATCATGGACACCTACCCTGGTTTAAATGATATTTATAAAACCTTCAAAAAAGGTAATTAGGGCCCTGGCCAGTTTTGCTCAGTAGAGAGTTGACCTATGGATTGAAGTATCAAAAGTTCAATTCCTGGTCAAGGGCACATACATGAATTGCAGGTTCAATCCTAAGTCCCAGTCAACAGGCATGGGAGAAGCAACCAGTGATGTCTCTCCTCCTCCTCCTCCCCCTTCTCCTCTTCCTCCCTCCTTCCCACTTTCTCTCTAAAGAAGGTGATTAGGTTTATTACCTATTTTTTGATGTCCAGGACCAATTTTTCCCCAGAGGTATATATTGGATGTCTACCATGTGCCACAGAAAGTGCTGGGCAGTGGGAAGGTAGCAGTAAAGAAAACAGACATATCGTAGCCACTCAAAGCTTATGATAAAATGACTACGGTACAAACACTCACCTGTAGGTCTGCTTAACTAGGTATCTTGACTCAGGACAACCAGAGCCACAGTGGATTCAGATTTACTTAGACGGACAAATGACAGGAAATACAACATCTCAAAAGTGCGGCATCAGTTGCTCTTCTTCTTTGTGACACTTAGCAGGGGTCCTCACAGCAGTTCACCAAGTTGACTACAACCTACCTGAAGTGACAGCATAGCTATAGGTGCATGATCCACCCTGATTTAGCCACACCATGCACAGGGGAGTCATTATGTCATGTACAACTTTGTAATTATAACTTTCAGAGACCCCACAAAGATACAAGAGTCACCAGGTTGAAGGAAGACAAAAAATGGCTTATAATTCACATCTAGTCCCTTCCAGGCACATGCAATTTACCTACCTTCAGTCAGTGGTCATTTGTAACTCTAAGCTCAATGTTGGCCTACTAATTCAAAAGAAAGTCCACCTTTATCAGATTTCCAGAGTAATGAACAAGAAAATTAACTCAAGGTCAATTTTGTTCTTGAAGAAAGAGAAATGGCTTTATTAACTCATTCTCCAAAACATGTGTGATCAACAATCAATCACAAAACTGATTGCTCTGCCAAAAATGTTTTGATACTATACAAAACTATTAGTTTGACTCTCTACTTTTTCCCTGAGAAGGAATAATTTTATACTTTTTCATTGGTTCTCAGAAAAGATGATGTCCTCCAATAATTTTTGTTTGACTTGCCTAGAAAACTTTTTATTCTACATGCTTTTGGTCTCAAAAAGATCTCCAGGTAATGATGGAGAATTCAAAAGAAAAATTACTATAATAACTGAGGAAAGCAGATGATATGGGAGCAAGCTTATAGCATTAAAGGGTCCATGTGTCTACAGAACAAAGACAAATTAGATTAATTTCAGAATGAGAAGCAGACTTGCAAGTTGATTCAAAAGGGATAAGAATAAAAAAAGAGTTTGTAAAGTCTGGCTTCCAAAACTAAGGAATTTGATGTTATTTGTTACACAGTAGACAGACAGTACAGGTTTATTGCACCAGGAGGTATCCTGCCATCAGCCCTTAGGCGTATGGGCTTACTGCTTCCCTGTTTCCTCCCTGGACTCTGCAGGATATACACCAAGAATTTTTGGTGTATTACCTTCCTCCATATCTTTGCTGGGTTACCTACATATAGAGTCTCTGGGCTGGTGCTGTGTTCTTCCCTCTTTGGCAATTCTCCAAACGTAACAGGCATCTTGGTATGTTTTTCAGGGTCACAATATTCACTCCCTGTTTGCAGCTTCAAGGAATATTCCTCTTTAGCCTGGAATCTGGGTGCCCCAGGAACCTGTGTCTAGTTGTTCCCATGTCCAATAATTTCTCTTTGGGAAGCACTCATCCTCCCTTACTCAGTTAAGCCAAAACCTTCTCTTGTCCAGCCTCATTTCTAAAGCTTTTTTATACACATAAAGCTCTATAGCAGTGATGGCGAACCTTTTGAGCTCGGCGTGTCAGCAATTTGAAAAACCCTAACTTAACTCTGGTGCCGTGTCACATATAGAAATTTTTTTATATTTGCAACCATAGTAAAACAAAGACTTATATTTTGATATTTATTTTATATATTTAAATGCCATTTAACAAAGAAAAATCACAAAAAAATGAGTTCGCATGTCACCTCTGACACGCGTGTCATAAGTTCGCCATCACTGCTCTATATGATCTTTGTTTTCCTCCCAAGGAAATCCCTCTGGTTTTCCTTACAGTTTGAACAGTTCAGCAAACACATTTCAAAATAAATATCATATTATTTATTTTGATATATTTGTTCCTGGTCAGCTGAATATTTTTTACAGAAATAACAAGCTCACTATGTTGCCAAACCTTCCTTTTCCTAACATTTCAGTGGCAACTTTCTGTGTGGGAAGCATAAGGGCCCTTTTGTTGGGTATTCTCTTTTCTGTCCCAGGGAAGAAGAGTCAATTTTACCAACAGGATTAGGACCCACTGAGTACTGAGGGACACAAGCTGTGGAAATTCCTAAATGTGTAATTTGAGATGACACCACTCCAAGTGATCTCTAATTGTCTTCTTCTTATGCCCTCTCTTCAGTGATACCAAACATAGAACTGTTCCTAAAAAGTGATGGAGAAGAAAATGAGGAGAGACCTGATATCCAACAGATCCTTGAACAAGGTGATTGCAAACAGATAGAAACTGATTCTCCTCTGCTAAGAGGAAAGGAGAAAGGAAGGTGGGCCTGAGTCCTGAGTGGAGTTTGGGAATCAGGGAAGACCTGTTGAGGAGCATGGAGAAGTTCAGGAAGGGCTTTTTCTATGAGCATCTGACCAGAGTCTGAACCTGGGGGATGAGCTATGACAAGAGATCATAGGCCCAATAATCAAGACAGAGGAACAGGAACCCAGTGTATCAGGAAACCAGATTTAAAGACAATACTGACCTGAAAGTAACTCTTATTACAGAGAGGCCTATAGGAGAAGATCAGTGTGAAGCTGTGAAGGGCTAAGAACTATGGGCCCAAGGTTAACCACACCAGAAGATATCCTGGATGATGACAATGGGGTTGACTTAAATGTGGGAGATGCTGTTCAAGAGCAGGAATATTCAAGGAGATGGGCAGTCATATAGGGAGGGAAGAGAGGAAGTGGTAAGATGTGTAGGAGGAGATGTGGGTATTTTGAGAGAGGAAGAGAGAAAATGAAAGACACGAGAAAGGGGTAAAGTACACAACGATGACAACCATATTACTAAGAGCTTACTTATAAACCATTTACTCTGGCAGTTGAGGGCTTAGTATTCACAGCTGCCCGTAGGGGGAAGTATCATTTTCTGTCCATTTACAAAAAGGAGACTGAAATCTTGAGGGACCATGTATGTAGTTGGCCTGGAGTCAAATGAGGATGAACTCAGGCTTTCTGAACCCAAAGCCTGTGTTCTTAACCCTGCACATACCCAGATAATCTCATAGAAAAGACAGAAAATTGAGTCAAAAGTAGTGAAATATGTGCAGAGAGAAAGATACAAAAAAAAGAATACCAGGAGCTGGAGAAAGTACAGGAGAATCAGATACTGAACCTCATAAAAAGGCCAAGAAGACAGAGAAACAGACATTCGGAGAGAGGATGTGGTGTGAAGGGGTTGGGGACAAGGAGACATGACTTTGTAGGAGGTAAGGGAAGCCCACCAATCAAAGGAAGTTTTAAGGACAAAAACAAGTTCCCCATAGCTATGGGTGACAATAAAAGCTATTTGCTCATTAATTATCTCAGTGAGATGGCAAGACTGAGGTCAGGTGGCAGCTGATGGCAAGTGTCGGGTAGATTCTCAGATCCAGATGGGCTCTGTGTCAATATCTGGGGGGAGGGGATCTTCAAATCCTACTTTATAATAATTAATTGGTGATTAAGGGAGAATGTCACAGCCCATATTTTAATTTCTGAAATAAACTTCTAATTGTTTCCAAGAACTGGTGACAGCTCATATCAAAGTCTGGCAGTGGCAGAACCCAGTGCATCAAATAACAGTGGTCTGTTCCTGTTGACTGTTCTGTGAGCCCTTGATGTTCTTGTCCCATATGGCAGGTGCTGTGGTGGGAGTGCTGCTTCATTTTAGTATTAATTGCCCAGAACAGTCAGTCTTTACATCCTCAATTTCTCCAAAGATTTAGATAAGAGTCTTCATTTTTCTGGTTGCCTGGGAGAGACTCTCCTTCCATACTCCTTAAGTGCACTTGCTGCCAGCTCCTACAAGCCCAGGCCTGGACCTATTGCCCATGCACCTGGCTTCAATTTTCTGACTCTGTCTTGCTTGAATCTGGATGCAACCTTGCTTTGACATGACGTCCAATGCTGGCCAGCACTGCAACAAGGGTGGTGGGGTAAAGGTCATGAGTATGTTCCCCCTGGGCCAGGGTCTCTCACCTGTTGGGTCCCTCACACAGGACCATCAACAAACCTCTCCCATCTTCTCTGGGGCACAGGCTTGCAGCTGCTCTAAAAACACTATGGAAGGCGTTATTGTGTAGCTTCCACTGAGATGTGTTATTTAATAAAAGATGTTCTAGCCCTAGCCAGTTTGGCTCAGTGGATATAGTGTCAGCCTGCAGACCAAAGGGTCCAGCATTTGATTCCGGTCAAAGGTGCGTACCTTGGTTGCAGGCTCCTCCCTGGCCTGGGCCCTGGTCAGGGCTCGTGAAGGAGGCAACCAATTGATCTCTTTCTCTCACATCAATATTTCTCTCTGTCTTACCCTCTCTCTCCCACTCTCCCTAAAAATCAATGGAAAAATATCCTTGGGTGAGGATTAACAAAAACAGAAAGAAAAAAAGAAATAATGTTCTAAATGAGTAATATCCTATCTAATAAAAGAGAAACATGGTAATTACCCATACCTCCGCTACCCTTCCCATTGGCTAATCAGGGCGATATGCAAATTAACTGCCAGCCAAGATGGTGGCCGGCAGCCAGGCAGCTTCAAGCAAACATGAGGCTTGCTTGCTTCAGTGATGGAGGACTCCAACGTTCCCGGCCTGCTGCTGTCGGCCTCTGAGCTTGCAGTTTGAAACATTGTAACAAATGTAGAAGCTAAACAAAACCCCAGAAACCGTCTTTCAGCTAGCCAGGCTTCAGCCAGCAGGACCGCAACATTGTTTCAATTATAGAACCCAAACAAACTAGATACCTGCTTTCAGCAGGCGAGGCCTAAGAGCTGGAGCCAAGCCTCAGAGCTAAAGCTGGCCCAGAGTAAAAAAAAAAAAAGAAAAAAAGGAGCGGTTGGGAGCTTTAGTAACCCGCCTGAAAACAGCCCTCAGCCCCTCACCCAGACTGGCCAGTGGGGACCCCCACCCTGAAGGGTGTGTGACCAGCTGCAAAGAGCCATCATCCCCTCAGCCAGACTGGCCAGGCACCCTAGTGGGGACCCCCACCCTGATCCAGGACACCCTTCAGGGCAAACCAGCTGGCCCCCACCCATGCACCAGGCCTCTATCCTATATAGTAAAAGGGTAATATGCCTCCCAGCACCGAGATCAGCGGAGCCGCAAGCCCTCCCGAACCCGGGATCAGCATGACAAGGGGCGGTGACAGGGTGCAGCGCCCCAACTCCCCTATTGGCCCTACTCTGTGAGTGACAGGGGGGAGCTCCTCAACCCCCTAATCGGCCCTGCTCTGTGTGTGATGGGGGGAGCTCCCCAACCCCCTAATCGGCCCTGCTCTGTGCGTGACAGGTTACGGAGTCCCAACCCCCCTGATGGGCCCTGCTCTATGAGTGACAGGGGGTGGAGCCGCAACCTCCCCATCGACCCTGCCTTGAGTGTGACAGGGGGCAGTTCCCCAACCCCCCAATCGGCCCTACCTTGAGCATGACTGAGGGTGGCATCGCAACCTCCCGATCCGCCCTGCTCTGTGCATGACAGGGGGCAGCGCCCCAACTCCCCAATCAGCCCTGCTCTGAGCCTGACCAGGGGCTGCACTTAGGGATTGGGCCTGTCCTCTGCCACCAGGGAGCAGGCCTAAGCCAGCAGGTCATTATCTCCTGAGGGGTCCCAGACTGCGAGAGGGCACAGGCCGGGCTGAGGGACCCCCTCTCCCCCACGAGTGCACAAATTTTTGTGCACCGGGCCTCTAGTATTTTTATAAAAGAAAAAAAAACTTTCACAATGATTTTGAAAGCACCTTTATATGTTTAGAAAATCACATTTAGTAAAAAAAAAAAAATTAACATATAAGAATATGAAACATATAACAAGCATCAGCCCCTATTCTTAGCCATTCATCTATAAGTGCAGCTGGTGTGATCAGGAATGTTGAGAGGAAGGAATCATGATGAGCAATTTGCAGAGAAGGGATTCAGTGTGTGTGTGTGTGTGTGTGTGTGTGTGTGTGTGTGTGAAGGGTATAGTGTGTGGGGAGGGGGGTAATGACATTATAACCCAAATTATGCAATAAACTAACAATAAATGTATCTAAGAGTCTGACCCAGCAGGGATGGTTGACTGTGACATGAACCAGTGAGGGAAGGGCTGTGTCACATTCGCCACCCAAGAGGAGACTCCAAGGAACAATGGATGTGGCACAAAACATGCGGCCTTGATTCTATATTAAAATTTTTGGAATTATTTTTAAATCCTCTTTACATAAGTTACTTTGCATAGAAAAATAGAAATAAATGACAAAATCTGAACTGCACTGAAAAAGTATTTATTCACACACTATTGAGGTTGGTGGAAACAGAGTGGATGGGTCGATGGAATCAATAATGAGCAGAGGAGGTTCACCATAGGGAAGGGGGTGCACTGGTCCTGGGTGGTTTACTCAGGGACTCATTTCCTATCATTCCTGCTCTGCTCTGCCCTCTATCCCTGGCCACAGATCCCTGCAGCATTGCTTGCCAGCTCCCTTGCTACTGCTTCCTGGTGGATTCCTAACCTGGGAAACACCAGCAAAGAGTGGAGAGTGGGAGCAAGGGAGAAGCATGGTATTTCCCCATCAGCAGAACTTTGAAAATGACGGGAATGCTTAAGATGGAGAAAAGATAAAGAAAAAATTGATTAGAAGAGATGTTCACAGGTCACAGAAATTGTAAAGAAACAGAATAGAATAGGACAAAGTAGGAAACATAACAGATAATCAATAAACTGGAAAATCAGATGGGGTACTAAGGGCCACAACCAGAGGGAGATAGGGAGACCCTGGGACACATGTAAAGAGGAGCTCATTCCCATGCCCTTCACACCTACAGTGCTTCACCCTAGACCCTGCTGGGCCTGGGTGGGCAATGATAAAATAATGTAAAAAATAAAGTATAAAGAGAGAAAAAATACATAAATAGAAAAAAATCATAAATAGAAAATATGGGGGAGACACAAAGAGAACTATGTCAAGAATGAGTAAGAGACAATGAATGAAGAACTGGTAGAGAGTAGAGTAGGTAGAGAGGACCAGGCATTGTCTGGTTTGAGAAGACACCACAAAGAAGGCAAAAGGGGTGTTCCTAACCCCATTGAGAAGGTAAGATGTCCACAAAATAAAAATGGCCCTGAAATTCACTCAGATAAAAATAGGCCTCTCCTATGAGAAGTAGAAACAAAAACAAAAACCCACAGTTAAGAGAGGCCCCCAAAAAGACAGAGTTGAGCAGCAGGAAAGGACAGGGGTGGGAGAGCTTTCCTCTGCAGTGGGCTTACAGAGAAAAGAGCTTGTTGGTTGTAGTGAGGATGCTCATTCTATTACCAGAGACAAGTGGATTTTTCATTTATTACAAAATTGGAGCTACCCCACCATGGAAACCAAATTCATTTCTGCTCTGAACACCTGGTGGATATAAAGAATGAAAAACCATTTTTTAATTCATGAGTTGAATGGGAAGCCCAAGAAAGAAGTGGCTGTGACCAGACATCTGACAGTATAGGTAAGGCTGACTGAAAGAATGTGTGATGTGAATCCCGGTCCCAGGCAAGGGTCTGGGACGAGTCATCAGGACCAAGAGATACAGTTTTGGTGGCCTTGTTTAGAGGTAAAAAGGGGAGGTAACCAGTGCCTTAAGTAGTGTGCTCAGCAGAAAATGTCCCCAGTAATTGAAAAAAATAAACAAAAGCAAAAATGGTTGGTTTAATGTCAGAGAGACTATTTCTATGCAAGAGAAGAAAGTGATGGTTGTAGAAGAAAAGAAAGAAAAATAAAGAGTCAAGATATTCATTAGAAGAGAGAAAAATAATGCAGAACAGGAGAGATATAAAGACATACCATCACCAGACATAACTAGTGAAAATTATTTCACCCAATAGAAAACTGAAGAAGTAAAATGAGAATGAAAGAAGAAGTAGAATGAGGGTGGGGATCAGAAATAGACTGAGGATGGAGAGAGGGAATAGAGTGAGGGTGGGGGTAAAAAGTGTGCTGCAGGATAGACAAAGCTGCCCTCTGCAAATGAACTTCTCCACCTTCTGGGTAGGATCTAGAGCAGCCGTGGGCAAACTACGGCCTCGAGGGCCACAATGGGTTCTTAAACTGGACCGGAGGGCCGGAACAAAAGCATGGATGGAGTGTTTGTGTGAACTAATATAAATTCAAAGTAAACATCATTACATAAAAGGGTACAGTCTTTTTTTTATTTTTATTTTTTTAGTTTTATTCATTTCAAAGGGGCCAGATCCGGCCCGCGGGCCGTAGTTTGACCACGGCTGATCTAGAAGAACCTGCAGGTTACACACATTCGGGCACAGACCAGGGGGACCTGAGTTAACTTAGCTTCTAGATCTCCCTAGAGCTGTCATGAAGGGGTTTCCTGTCAGTGGGCTCCCTGGCCCCACCTTGAGACACTAACGGGTTTTTCTCCTCTATGCAGAGATCGATAGTGAGGACTCCAGAGAATCCAGTGATGGAGCTGAGCCCCCAGAAGCTTTGTAGACGAAAGGGGCCACATGCTAACCTGACAAGCTCAGGGGAGGCCTGCATGGAGGTCTTGCAAACTCAGAGACCTAAAGGAACCACAAAGGATGGTCTAAAATTAAACTTTAACTAAAAGCAGTTATGGTGGGCAGTTACATCCTAGGCCAGTATCTTCACTGACAAGGTCTGTGAGCCTTAACTGAGCCTATCTGTTTTTTTGCATCTATAATAACATACCCTTTTAAATGTCTGGGTAACTTGTAACTTCCCTTGGGGCACAACCTAATGTGCTGGGCACCAGGACAGATACCACAAATTCCTTCATTATCATGTTAATTGTTCCTGCCTAAGTATGTGTCCATCATTTTACTTTTTATCCAATCCCAGGGGTTTCCCCCGCTTTGCTTTTTCCCACCTCTCTAGTCTATCACCAATGGATTTCATGTAACCCACCTATGTCCCTTTCCTTTGATTGCAATGTATATCTACAAATGTAACCCACCAATCTCTGGAGCATTATCTCAATTTGTTGAGGTTCTGCTTCCCGGCATATGTCGACAGTTTGGCTCAAATAAACTCACAAAAATTCTTTACAGGTTTCAATGGTTTTTATGTTGACAGCTTCCACCTCAGCATTGAAAAGGAAAATTGGTAAGGAGGTGAAAGCTCAAGGCTTGGTCTGCAGGAACCTGAGTTAAGGGCTACTGTTTCCTGAGGAATCAATTCTGAGTTTATTCTGTACCATGAACCCAAGAAGCCCTCTGCATAGAATGCTAAAAAGATATTAATATTAAGATTGCAGTCCTGAATGACAAGTATCCAGCATCAAATTTAGAGCTTCATTTTCCTCATGAATCTTTTCTGAGCATCTTCCATGTCTTCATTCTATTACTTCTAGGAAACTGTTTACCTAAAAATAAAATGCTTTACAAAGTGAGAGGCAACAAGCACTTATTTGAGGTCAAAGGATTCAGGAAAGCACTTATTCAGGCAGAAGTGTAAATAGTGTTCTGATGAGGAGACAATCTCCAGGGATATTTATGAGAAAGGGAAGGGGACTATTTACATCAATAGAAGGAAGGCATTTCTATTGGTGACGATGAGCTAATATAGTGATGCTAATTCTAAGCAATGTTTTAATTTTCAGCCTGGTAGTCATCAGTCCCAAAGTCATGTCTGCTTCTTGTTAAAATTGAAAACAATTCTTTGGGACATAATGTCATTGTGGGTCCAGTCCCAAGGGTATTTTGCCCTGTTTTAACAGTGTCAATGTTTGAGGCATAAGACATGCAATGCAGTTCTTCTGGGATGACAGCTCCAACTCCATCTATTTTATTTTCAAATCACCAAAAATTGTGTTTATTTGGGAACAGTAGAGAAACTGCTATTTGGGGTAGGCAGATTGTAGCAAGCTAAAGGCTAGTCCACTGAGGTTTTGGGGCAGGCATTATTTATGGGCAGGAAGTACAAAGAGGGGGTAGGGAGTTCAGCTAGAATCCAAGCAGTAAGATCATTGGCTGCAGAATGGGGAGAAATTCTTGGTTGATTTTTATCAGTTGAGTGGTAAGTTTTGGTTTTCTGTCAATAAGGCATTTACTAGAGATCAGTCTTTCAGTCCTTAAGTTTCATTTTACTGAGGATGCATGCATGAGATCTTTAATTGATATCCTCTTTTTTTAGGTTCCATTTTAGGTTGAAATACTTTCATTTTTTTAAATTAAATCTTTATTGTTCAGATTATTACAGTTGTTCCTCTTTTTCCCCCCAAAAGCTCCCCTCCACCCAATTCCCACCCCACCCTCTGCCCTTACCCACCCCCCGCACTGTCCTCATCCATACCTGTATGATTTATGTTCAGTCTCTTCCCACACCTCCCACACCCCTTTCACCTCTGAGAATAGTCAGTCCACTCCCTTTCTATGCCCCTGATTCTATTATATCTTCTTAAAGGATACCTTCCAGCATTTCATATAATACTGGTTTGGTGATAATGAACTCCTTTAGCTTTTTCTTATCTGTGAAGCTCTTTATCTGACCTTCAATTCTGAATAATAGCTTTGCTGGGTAAAGTAATCTTGGTAGTTCTTGCTATTCATCACGTTGAATATTTCTTGCCACTCCCTTCTGGCCTGCATAGTTTCTGTGGAGAAATCAGCTGACGGTCATATGGGTACTCCCTTGTAGGTAACTGATTGCTTTTCTCTTGCTGCTTTTAAGATTCTCTCTTTGTCTTTTGCTCTTGGCATTTTAATTATGATGCGTCTTGGTGTGGTCCTCCTTGGATTCCTTTTGTTTGGGGTTCTCTGTGCATCCTGGACTTGTAAGTCTATTTCTTTCACCAGGTAAGGGAAGTTTTCTGTCATTATTTCTTCAAATAGGTTTTCAATATCTTGCTGTCTCTCTTCTTCTGGCACCCCCATAATTCAGATGTTGGTACGCTTGAAGTTGTCCCAGAGGCTCTTTACATTATCTTCATATTTTTGGATTCTTTTTTCATTTTGCTTTTCCGGTTAGGTGTTTTTTGCTTCTTCGTATTTCAAATCTTTGACTTGATTCTTGCGATCCTCTAGTCTGCTGTTGGAACTCTGTATAATATTCTTCATTTCAGTCAGTGTATGCTTAATTTCTAGTTGGTCCTTTTTCATAACCTCGAGGGTCTCACTAGATTTATTGAGGGTCTCACTAAATTTATCGGCAGTTTCTAGAAAATTCTTGAAAAACCTTAAAAGTGTGGTTTTGAACTCTATATCCAGTAGTTTGCTTTCCTCCATTTCTGTCATTTGTGACTCGTTTCTTTGTCTCCGCATTTTTTATTCTTCCCTGTGTTGATAGAGTGGCTTTCTGAGCTAGGTGTCCTATAGGGCCCAGTGGCTCAGCCTTCCCAGTTACCTGAGGTGGACACTCTTGGTGCAACACTTTGTGTGCTTTGTGCACAGTCTTGTTGCAGTTAAGCCTTGATTGTTGTAGGTATCACTGGGAGGAAGTGACCTCCAGGCCAATTGGCTGTGAGAATCAGCTGTGTCTATGGTGGGAGAACTTCTGTGCTGGAGACACCCTTAAGGGGCAAGACTTGCTTCAGTGAGGCTTTGGTGCTCACTGAGTCTGCCCCCTGAGTGTGTCCCTTATGGATCTGAGGAGTTGTAATCTGGATGGTCCCACTCTGACCACTGGGTACACTGGCTCTTGGATCTCTAAGGAGGTGCTAATTTAGCCTCTGCTTGAGGTTACCCAGCAGGAGCTCTGGAGAGATCTGCAGGTTCCTCTTCTTTGTTTGGGGTTTGGAGGTGCCCAGATGAGGCCCAGCTGTGAAGCAATGCAAGCTGCTGTGGGGCCTTGGTCCTTCTTCTGGATGTTCTGGGTCTCTCTGACCCAGCTGCAGTTTGTTAGGTAATTTTCAGATTGCAAAGGGCCAGGCCTTTCATATGCAAAAGCATCCGAGCACAGCTTTGGTGGGGCGGGGTCTCAGGGAATCAACAGGGTGGAGCAAGCAGCTATGGCTGATCCTCAGTCCTGTCCTAAGAGGCCCCGCGTCTCAGTGTCCCACGGTAATCGCTGCAAGCACCTCTGAGAGAAAGCCGCCCTCGAGTTCCAAGTTCTGCCCGCTGCCAGACAGTCCAGTTTCTCCCCATATGAGTCTGGGTTCCCAGAGACTCGCCCAGAACTGCAGTCATGGCCGTCAAGAGCTTGTGTCTCCCTCCCGATTGAAAAAGAAAACCGAGTCCCCAGTTGCCAGCCCTTTCCGCCTGGGCCTCCGTACCTCTGCACTTTACTTCCACACCTCCTCTGAGTCTCAGTGTGCTTTTTTATTTCCTTCTAGTTGTAGAATTTCCACTCAGCCAGCCTTCCTATGGTTCTGGATGATGTCCGTTTGTCTTTAGTTGTATTTTTGAAGTGGTTGTGTAAAGCAGCAATTTCCAGTGTTTACCTATGCCACCATCTTGGTTTCTCCTCCAACTCCATTTTAAAGTGGTTCCATCCTATATAATAAAGAGGTAATATGCAAATTAACCCTCACACTGTCATGCCATCACAAGATGACTGTGCCCACAGCTAAGGCCTGGTTCCCGTAACACAAGATGGCTGCGCCCATAATGGAGGCAGGGTTCCCTTAATGAGCCATAATGAGTGATCAGCAGGGACCTGAGGCTGTGTGGCGCTGGGCCAGGGTGGGGGACCTGAGGTCGCGTCCCCCACCCAGGGGCTTGACAGGGGACCTCAGGCCACACCCCAACCCAGTGGGGCTTGACGGGGGACCTCAAGGCATGCCCCATGCCCTGGTTGGGCTTGACAGGGGATCTGAGGCTGCACCTGCCACTTGGCACTGGGCCAGGGGACCTGAGGGTGTGCCCCCAGCCTGGTGGGGCTTCACAGAAATGGTGCCGGCCGGGTCTGGATCTCGCCCAATGGGGGTGGGGCTGGCCAGGTCTGGGTCTCGTGCAATTTTGAGAGACTTGACTCTGGGTCCTGCGCACACCCCAGACTCTGACAAGAGGAAGATTTTCATATACATTTTACTAATTTTCTTTCATCTCTGACACTTCTATTATAGAGAAAAGGCAAATAGCAATATTAAAATATTTCCTCAAATTAATTTCCTTTTAATGTGCATGAATTTCATGCACTGGGCCACTAGTTTATATATAATTTTACAAATTTCCCTTTTGTTTTTGGGTTTTTTTGTTTTTTGTTTTTTAGAGTTTTTATTATATTTTATTTTTTAAATCTAAATTCTTTATTGTTGAAAGTTTTACATATATCTCCTGTTTCCCCCTTTCACCTCTCCCCAGCCTGAAGCACATGCCTTCACCCCCCTACTGTCTGTGTTCATTGGTTATGCTTAGATGCATGCACACAAGTCCTTTGGTTGATCTCTTAACACCCCTTTCACCCTCCCCAGTCTTCCCTCTGAGGTTTGACAGTCTGTCCTATGTTTCTATGTCTCTGGATCTATTTTTGTTCATTGTTTACATTGTTCATTATATTCCACAAATGAGTGAGATCATGTGATACTTGCCTTCTCTGACTGGCTTATTTTGCTTAGCATAATGCTCTCCATGTCCATTCATGCTGTTGCAGATGGCAAGAGTTCTTTCTTTTTTATAGCAGCATAGTATTCCATTGTGTAGATTACCACAGTTTTTTAATGCACTCATCTGATGTTGGACACTTAAGCTGTTTTTAAATCTTAG